CAAACGTAACTCCCCCCTTTTTAAACGCCGACATGTACGAAGCAAATTGCAGATAAATATGAATAAAGAAGACAAAATCTTATACAATCACATTCTAGTTTATTGGTTTGTCTCACGTTTGTCTAACACTTGATGCAGGCCACAACTACTAATATTGGTACATATTTGATGATATGGACCCATTTAATCCCCCCAATAGAATATTTAGGAGAGGAAGCATGAGTAGAAACTCTCAATGGAATGTTTCCTAAATTTCAAATATAGATGTTTTGCTTTATTTTTGAAGATTTGTAGATGTCCCAATTTGGAGTTAAATAATAGGGCCTTTGTTCCTGTTACTTCAAATAATGAACGTTGCATGAATCTACAAACACTACATTAAAAAATTTTTAAGTCTGTATTTCTGTTGTCAAGTTTGCCTTTTTTTTTAAATATATATATAAATATCTAATATAGTCACAGAATTGAGTCAAGTTGGATGTATCGAAATCCTTGAGAGTGTTTTCATTTCCAAACCTTTAAAAATTCATAAATTTTCAAAGGAAAAAAAACTATATTAAGACAAACATATTAGTTACTGTCCTAACAAATAAAGAATACTATACATGATTACATTAATAGTTCTGAGTTTTGTCAGTATGCAACGGCTAGAACAGAAGCATAATTGCATACCTAAGACCTACTTGACATTAACTAGATCAAATAACCCATCAAATGCAGATAAAGAAACTTTCAATATTTCAAAACAAAAGATAAAGTAAAAAAAGAAAGATTTACATAAATACCACTCAATTCCTATGAATTTACACACCTAAACTTCAATTTTTACATACATACCATCTTAACTATGCATGAAAAAGTGTATTTAACATTTTAGTAGTTACATTGGTGGTGTTTTTTATGTAATGTGAAAGATTTGGGTGATATAAGTATAAAATACTAAGTTTAGATGTTAGATATTTAAATACACAGGTTTAAATGGTCATCATGTAAATGCCCAAATAAAATTTACAAGTAAAAACTGCATACCCGATGCCAACAGCAAGTACTTTAGCAACTTCTTGATTAATTTCTGTGGATTCTCCAATGACGTAGATTGACGTTCCTTTAAGGAGCTGTGGAGCCCCTAATCTGAGGGAATCCCAGGATTCCATGGCATCGGGCCACCAGAGTTCTGCCTCACGCTTCTTTAGGTTCACAACCAGTTGATCCTCATCAATGTACCTGGAAGATTTAGCAGAGTTATACAAAAAAACTATTAGATGGCAAACCATTTAATCTCATTGAATACCAACCAGATAGTTTCAGCTGGTTTTACCCTCTCAAACAAGCAATCCGTTTGCATTAGGGTTCTAAGAGTACCAGAAGCTTTAACCCTAATTAGCAGAGAACTATCGTCCAAATCAACAAATATGTCATCGGAGCTCTCAACACCAAGGGCTGATATATCGAATCTTAGCTCCACTTCTGTGGCGCCATCAGAAAACTGCACCGCACTCAGCGCTTTATTTAAAGAGTTTTAAGAGGCGTAGAATCGAACAAAAATTGACGTCAAATTCAAATCATTTGCTTAGGGCATTACAAAAGTACGAAAATTTCTCATTTTGAACAATTGTTTAGGGATGGAAAGAAACAAGAAAGTCGATATTGTCTATAAAACCTCATAATTTCCTGTGCACGGTGGAGCAGCGGAGAGGTTTTTGCCGGAAACTGACGCGCATCTGTGCAAGATGGGGCTGTTTCGGGAGCAGAGAAAAGGACGTGGTAGGAGCGTGCGGCTCTTGGGGGAGACTTGAAGGTTGGGGAGAGAGTTTTCTGGGACTAAAATGCTCGGGGTTTTGTTGGGATGTAGAGGAGAGGAGACAGAGAGGGAACAAATGACAGCAGCGGCCATCGGAGCTAGGAGAGTTGTGAAGAGTAGAGTGGCAAAGGCATAAAAGCAGTCATTAGTGTATTGGGCGGGGTTTATTTGACAGGTGAGGCTCATTATAGGACTGCACTTTGGAGTCTGGATGTAATATTTTCTCTAAAAGCAGGACTCTAAAATTAACTCGAAGATTATTAAAATCAATTCCAAATAGAAGAGTTAAGTTATCAGTCAAATTTCGATCGAATTTTTTTCGAGTCCGCTTTTAAATTCTAACTCAAATAGCAAAGGTGATGATAAAATTCCAACCTTTTTTTTTTAATTAAATTCCTAACGGTTTGATCATGACACGAATAAATGCATCGGTTTTATAGTTCAAAAAATCATCTAGGTACTTGATTTGTAAATAACAATATTTGGAGGGCCCTGCATGTAATTATCCATTAACTCAATTTGAACCAATTAGTTTCAATTTTGAACTGCCTCGAGCCAATTCCAAGCTGAAACTTATCCAAATAACTCAATTTGAGTTAGATCCTGCTCCATTCAATTTCACACAATATTGTACTATATTTCACACAAAATGCAAAGAAACATTATCCCAAGTCCATGTATTCTTATATTTGCTCTTATGATTATTGTTAACTTTTTTTTTTGAACTTTTACCATGAGATTTCTTCTTATAGCTTGATAAACAGGTCATGATATTGTAATTGATGAAAATAAAATAGGTTTTGGCAACCATGAGTAAATATTTCAAGTAAGACTTATATACATACCACTCAATTCTTATGCATTACATATCTAACTCCTAAATGTTAATGATTTGGCATGAATATGTGTATTTTATTTATTCATTATGTGATATAATAGATGTGGCAGTATGAATGTATTTAAAAATTGAGTCTTTCTTCAGTGCATTTAAAATTTTAGCAAGAAATTTAGAAAATTAGGGAATGACTTTTAGTGCATGTATTATACTCCTAAAAAGTATTCATAATATAAGCCAGTTAGAAAATTAGCACAATTGGGTGTATGAGATTAGAAGTTTTGTTTTAGAAAATATTTATTAAGGTTATATATATTAATAAAATTGATATGGTTTGTTATGAATTATATGCATATAATGAAGAAAGTGCTTTTTGTATATGATTTAAAATTAAAGCCAAAATACATAAAATTTTAGTTTTAATACAGATGATGGATTTATTTTTATCTAATAAGAAGATTTGTTAGCATCATGAGCAAACTATCATTTTTACAAAAATTTCTAAGGTGTCATTTTAAAATTTTATTAGAATAGACTTGGAAAGATCTCTCTCATCAAATATATCTAATAGCCTAGTGTCATCAACAAATTTTTTTATCATGCATGAATTTTGATGCATGTTTTATGAAGGATTTTCAAAGTTCAAATCATGGTCATCTGGGGACCCAATTTCAACAGGTTTATAGTCAAACTGACTGTTTCGATAAGATGAACCCAATGATACTAAAATTGGTTCAATTCGAGTCCAATCAAAGCCATTAAATCACTTTTTGAAGTTTGGAATCGTCAATTTAGTGGTCCAATGAAGTTCAAATTTGATATTTTATTGTCAAACCGAGCATTTTGACTAGAGGAATCCAATGAGTCCAAGCTCATTTAATTTCAAGGTCATTAAGGCCCTCAAATCATTAAAAAATATCCTATGATTAAGGGGGGTCAATATGAGTAGCCCGATTAGGTCGTTGAGGATGTTATTCGTCAAAAGACCAAAATGTCCTTACCTCCATGGAGAAGAGAAGGAATTTCAAATCCTATTATGGATTAAAGAACAACGATAACTTCCAATTTTTGTAGTCGCCAACCACCGTCAACTATTATCAGTCGACCGTCGTCGACCAGCTCCGACCACCCCAACTTGTCGCTATTGACGCCCCCTACTTGCTGACATCATATCTCAAAATGGTCATGATTTATAAAGTCATATTGGAGACTCAATCATGAATTCTAGTCTCTATCATCGTCGAACACTGCCAACAATTGTCCGTCAGCCGCTATCGATCACTGTCGTCCGCTCTTGCTTGCCACCATCAGTGATTCCTGCTTGATAATGTTGTATTTTAAATATAATCATAACATATAACACTCTATTGCAGATTAGACGATAACTTTCAGCCTTTGAAGTTGTCAACCACAACCCATCAGCCACTATCGACCACTACCCGCCGCCCCTGATTGTCGTCGTCGGTGACCCATGCTTGTTAACGTCACATCCCAAATACAGTCATAGCATATAATGTTATATTGAAGAACTGATGATAACTTCCAACTTCTGTAACTGTCAATTATCGTCGATCGCCGACCGTTGGCCTACTTCAATCATCACTTACTGGACACCATCGGTGACCCCTACTTCCTAAAACATATCTCAATTATGGTTGTAACATATAACACCATATTAATGAATCGATGAAAGATTTGATCCTCCATAGCCACCGAATGTTATCAAACATAGCCTGTTGGTAGTCATAGACCACCGTCAGTCGCCCCTGCTCACCATCGTTAGAGTCCTTTTTCTTCTTAATGTTATATCCCAAATGCGATCGTAATATATATTGTGATATTGAAGACCTAGTGATAACTTCTAATCTCCATAGTCGTCGAATAACTTTGATCAACACTCATTGGCCACGGTCGACCACCGTCAGCTACACCTTGGTTAATAACATTATATCCCAAATGTGATCATAAAATATAACATCTTATTAGAGACCAGATGACAAATTGCGACATCAATGCCAATGGATGTCATTGCAGCCCCTAACTATGGCCCATATGGTCAACTACCAACACACCTTCCAACTACAACCTTTGGTTCCAACTTAAATTATTACAAACCGCAACTACAGCCTTTGTGGCCAAGTTTTAACATAGATTCCAACTATGGAATTTATGGCCAAATGATGATATTACAACCCCCAACTACGATCATTTGTTGCCAAGTATTATTATAGGCTCCAAATATGGTTTTTATAACAAGCTGACACTATTACAGCTCACAACTATGACATATGTGACCAACTATTACTATAGTTTTTAGCTATTATAGCCCCAAACTACAATCAATGTGACCAACTACTATTACAGCTTCCAACTACGACATTTGTGGCCAACTGACACTATTGTAGCCCTTAACTATTACATATATGACCTATATTACTACAACTTTCAACTACAGCCTTTGTGGCTAACTGAAGCTATTGTAAGTCCCAACTATGACATATATGACCAACTGCTACTTCAACATCCAACTATAGCCTTTGTGGCCTACTAACTCTATTGTATCCTTAAAAACAACTTATATAGCCAACCATTACTACAACTTCCAACTATAGTCTTTATGGCAGACTAATGGTATTATAGTCCTCGTCTATGGCCTATGTGGCCTACTAGTACTATAACTTCCAACTACAACCTTCGTGGAAAACTGATGCTATTGCAGGCCCCAACTACAGCCTATATGGGCAACTAATGCTATAGATTTCAACTATGGCTTCTGTGGTTAATTGATGTTATTGTAGGCCTCAACTACGTTCTTTGTGGCCAACTACTATTACAACATTCAACTACAATCTTTGTGGCAAACTAATGTTATATGTGTCATCAACAAATTTTTTATCATGCATGAATTTTGATGTATGTTTTATGAAGGGTTTTTAAAATTCAAATTAAAGGTCATCCGGGGACCTAATGTTTAAGGTGAGGTCTAATGTGGGTTAGACCTAGGGTTTAAGGTTAGGTCTAATATTGTTTAGACCTAAAGTTTAAGGTTAAGTCTAATGTGAGTTAGACCTACAATTTAGATTAGGTCGCATGTGGATTAGATCTAAAGAGGTTATGCTAAAGCTTAGGTATAATGTGAGTTATACCTAAAGAGGTTAAGGGTTTAGGTCTAATGTAGGTTAGACCTAAGGAGTTTAAGTTAGGGTTTGACTCTAAAGTGGGTTAGACCTAAAGGGATTAAGGGTTTAGGTCTAATGTAACGTGTTTAAGTTAGGGTTTAGGCCTAATGTGGATTAGACCTAAAGAAGTTAAGGGTTTAGATCTAATGTAGGTTTGACCTAAAGAGTTTAAGTTAGGGTTTAGGTCTACTATTGTTAGAAAAAAAGGGATTAAATTATGTTTAACGTGGGTAAAACCTAAAGATGTTAAGGGTTTAGATCTAATATAGGTTAGACCTAAGGAGTTTAAGTTGGGGGTTAGATCTAATGTGGGTTAGACCTAAAGAGGTTAACGGTTCAAGTTGGGTTTTGTCCTTTAGTGATTGGACTTGACTTGGGTTGTCTTGTAGTGTCACCCACATGTCATGTTGGGTGGTCTTGAGTCATAAGTAACCCATCAAGAATGGGCTATGAGCTTTATGGGTCATTTGCTTTGGGTTAAATTTTAGGGTTTTGGGCTTAGTCTAATGAGTTTGATCTGGCCCAAATTTAAGCCCTAATGGAATCTAATAATCCTCCTAATTAATTAATTAATTAATTAATTGAATTATAAGGGCTGACCTCATGGTGCCAATTGAGTTCACCACATGGTGTGATATCAAGGCCATGTTGGATGAGGTCCAATTGGATGGGAATGTGGTCAGTTGGTGATGATTTGACCAAAATTAGGCTAGTCCCAATTAGTTTTGACCAAACATGATGCCACCAAAATTTGGGGTCAAAAGGGTGTGACAGGGTTTTAAGTGATTTTTAAGGTTTTTTAGGGTTAGGAGGCCTTTAGTGAGTCTAGGAATCAATTTAAGTAGACCCTTCTCCCAAAGTTAATTTAATTGTCAAAGTGGCTCCTAGGGTCTATAGGAAGGTTCCTAGGGTTTAGGGTTTATTTGGGTGACCTAGGGCAGTCTTGCCTACGGAGGTCTACATGGCTCTATCACCAGGTCAAAACCCTAAACCAGTCCAACCAAGGTTATGGGCTTGGGCTTGCCTTGGTGAGGCCTAAGAAAGAACAAGCTTGGTTTAGGGGTTCTGTGTCGGATGGATCCTGAGAAAAGCGAGGTTATGATACGGATATGATATGTGCACTTGCGTGAGC